AAAAAAAAAAAAAAAAAAAAAAAAAAAAAAGCTGTTCGCTTATCACTTTAAAAAAAGTAAATGAAGCTGAGAAGTTTGATCTGAGTCACGACTGTTACCTACCAATAATCCCTATATCATTCATTATTCAGTCATTCAATTATTTATTCATTCATTCTTTCATTCATTCACTGTTCGAGCAATTCGATTGTCCATTCCTGAAACAGGAAACAGTCAAGCATAGTTGTTAAATCATCATCGTCCTTAATATGTCCATTGGTGCTTACTAAACTGTGTATTAAAGTAGCATTTTTAAAAAAAAGTTTTGTTGTCATTTGTCATCGAGACGAAGCAGTTTTCTGGTGTATTATTTGACAGTTTTTATCGCTTTTTGATGCATATGACAAAGATTAAAAATTATGGAAAAAGCTGAAAGAAATACTGAATTAATGTTAGATTTTTGCTGTAAAACTGCTTCACTGTTTTAGTTTTTCACTCAAATTTTTATTGCCATTTTTTCTGAGAACTCACAATGCTCACTGCCTAACGTTGTGTCCTATAATGATTTAACTGCATGAAATGAGCTATAAGGTGAATGTAAAAAAAAAAAAACGTTTTTCTCAAAGTTGCTTCTCTATGTGCGGCGCCAAGCAAAACAGTAAAGCCGATGGAAAAAATGCTATCATTGCTTTTTTGCTTCAATTTTTAAAAAATGTACAAATTCCTTTTTTTTTTTTTTCATAATATTTGAACTGAAATTTCAGAGTGGGCAGTAAGAAACAGTCCCAAAAGAAAAAGCTTTGAAACAGATACATCCCTTCACTTGAACTGTTTAAATTATCCAGATTACAGCAGACGGCAAATGGTTACTTACAGGTTTCTCTGTAAACTTCTGCTGATTGGTAAAGTATTCCCAAGTAATAAATTCCGTATGATACTAAAGCAAAAAAAAAAACAAGGTACTTATCAAGTGTTGTTTTGTCAACAATACACTGACCAATTTTATGACACCAAAAGAACGAAAAACTGCAGTCTTACAAAGGCCGCTGGGTCCGAGTGACTTTAATAAAAGGAAAAATTGGAAAAAAAAAGAATTTGACAGTAGAAAACCTAAACAATAATCGTCACTTTTTTTGGTTTCTTTTCAGTATTCAACTAAATTTATTTAAAAAAAAGGCAAAAAATATATGGATAGAGAATGAAAAAAGAAAGCATAAAAAATTTTTATTCAATTGCTCCTTGTAAAATTCAACCAGCTCAAAAATCTACAAAAAAATAAAAACACGA